AATTAATGGAAATAAGACTGTCAGTTATAGACAAGAGATGGTGTTTTCAAATAAAAATCCAGTACCATGTTGTTTTCTGTTGTCCCACCACTGTACAACTGAAGCCATTAAATTCATAGGTATTAAAGCAATGTAAAATAAGAAATGAATTTCTATTAACATAATAGAAAGTATCATTCAGAATTAGTTCAAAGTTCTGTATTAATTAGAGCAGTCACTTCCTTTCAAGTTATATGAAAAGATGTCTTTTATTTCTTCTGGTATTGAATTTGCCTAGAAAAAACAGAAAGAAACCAGGAAGGTGTGTAGATGTGAGACTATTTCTTTTAATGTTAGACATTTATAAATATACAAAAAGTTATAAACTTTGAGCTCATAATCTAAATTTTATGAGACCACAAATGGTCCTCTAGTCAATTCTTCTGCTCTCAGGAAAGATTTCCTTCAAAATCTATCAAGATCTATAGTTTATGTTGTATTAATGAAGATCATGAAGGTGAGACTCTTAAGAGAGATGAGGGCAGTGTAAGGGGTTCTGGGTGGTTCAAATTACAATTCTTAAGGTTTAGAGTTTAGACTAAAGCTGCGTATTCAATATCATTCTAACCTCTACCAGTTATTCCTACTAGTTAGATATCTAATAGCTAATTGAGGCATTATTTTCTTTTTCTAGAGACTTATCCTGCAATAACATAGAATTTATTGAAAGGAATGCGTTTGAATCACTACCTTTTTTACAATATATGTAAGTTATAAATATAACTTCATTGTGTTTAGAAATTTTATAAAATTTAATTGTAAACCTCTTTGTTATTTAAAATTTTATGAGTAGAAAGCTACTAAAGTTATGTAGCAAATCCTTTTTGTTTCTAGTACAGATTAGTGTGAGAATTCTCTCACATTCAGAATGAACCATTCTATAGCAGTGGTTCTCAACCAGGGTGATTTTGTACCAGGGCAGTTGGCAATAGCCAAAGAGAGTTTTAGTTGTCAGAACTGTAGATTTGCTACTGGCACCTAGTGGGTAGAGGCTAGAGTTGTTGTTCAACATACTATAAGGCACAGGTCAGCCCCCCCCCCATAATAAAAAATTATCTAGCCCAAAATGTCAATAGTGTTGAAGTTGTGTATCCCTATTCTAGAGAAAGATCAATTAATTATTTCTTGAGCCCTTACTGTTTTGTATATAATGCATGGCATGTATAAACATGAAAGCATAAATCATAAGCAAATATCTCTCACAGTGAGATTTACTTAGTGTACAGTGGGATAATTGTGGTTTTATTATATGTAAATTAAAATTACTGCTAAAAGCTAAATGATCTGAAAGAATTATTTTTCTCTCTTCTTTTGCTTGTGTCTTTCTTTTGTAGAAATCTTGGTTGCAATTCAATCACAAAAGTGAACTTTGGAACATTTCAAGCCTCACATGGAATGCAGTTTTTACACAAGTTGTAAGTGAAATAGAAGATGAACACAGGAGAAAGCTATGTGTAAAAACATCATACAGTGATTGGTTGGCTGGGTATAAGCTCAGTTTGAACTCTTTTTGAAAAGTATGGCTTAAGAGCCCTTCTTTTTTTTTTCAAATGAGGAAACTAAGGTACAAAGAGGTCAAGAGACTTGTCTAACTCATATATGGCATGCTCTGTTTTCTCCAGAACTAACCTTTGGCATGTGCAATACAAGGTACCACGCACATAACATTCAAAGTATCACTGTCATGGGAATCCCGGTATTGCTTCTGCTCCGATATATGAATGGTCCTTGAAATTCCACTTCTGAATTTGACTTTGATTCCTGCTCATGTGCAAAGTTCCTAACTGCTCATATGTATGCAACATAGAACTGCAAGAATTAAGTTTCGCTCAGAGTTCTCCAGGGAGCAAAAGATGTGGATGCTTCCTCATGAGTCTCTTAAGTGGTAAAGCAGAAAGAATTCCTTAAAAGCTGCCACAGGGCACAGCTCTTCCCAATTAGAACATTAGTTTTCAGAACCTCTATACCTCTGAAGTGAATTGTCTGTGGCAATGGGAATCTTTGAAGTAAGGGAGAATATGCTGTTTAAGTTGTGGTGTGAAAAAATATTCATAAAGAAAATACATAGCTGTAGCCTCATTCCAATTTCTTACCTGACTACTCCTCAGTAAGAAGTGTGGGTTTTATTCCCTTTCAGCTAGAAACTTCTGTGATTTCTCTGTGACACAAACAAATCATAGTGGGTATGTTCAGTGGCCTGAAAAGGATTTTAGACTCAAGATGAATATTGTGTTCCAATCTTGTCTTTGGAAAAGACTGTCTTACTGTCTTGTGGTATAGAAATCTAATTTCACACAATTCATTACGGGTTAGATGCGGGTGTTCAGGATGTGCCAAGCTGGATTGGCAGTTCCTGCAGATGCCCATCTGTAGCGGCCTCCATCTTCTCTCATTAATGTGATGATGCCTCACTTGGGGAAAGAGCACGGACAGCCAGTTTTCCTTTGGTCAATGCATTAGAGAGCACGCTCATTACGTCCCTACACCAAGAGGTTTTGGTAGCATCAATACAATGTTGAAAACTCACCACCTTTACTAAGCATTGTGTAATACTGAGAGTCTCCTATAAGAATCTGAGTTTCATTATAGTTATGAAGGTAGTACAGGGGGGAAAAAACAAACAAAAATTGTGGAATCTCAGTTGAAAAAAATTCAGAAACAGTGTCAGCATGTACTAATTGCTGGGGGTACAAAGAAGAATTGGACAGGGACTTTATCCCCAAGAACTTTATACTGGAAGGAGTAAGGTGGATGTTGATGGGAAAACATACGAGAGCCTTGCCAGCATCTTTACAGCAGGGTAACAAGATAGGAGGGAGACAAAACGGGGACTGGGTGATGTGTCAAAAAAGGTTTGTAACAGAGTAGGCACCAATTTGTTTGTCTTGAGTTTCTGGGTTCATCTTAAATGACAGAAAAGTCAATGAAAGAATCAGAGCTAGCTGATGTTAGAAATAAATTAATACCCCTATCTTGTGATTTGAATAGAGCTGTAGTTCTAAAACTAACTCATAGTACTTTCAAAAGGTTGTCAGAAACCATAAGTGTGTGCTGGAGGCTGGGCTCCTTTGTTTTGGGCCAAATCTTATGGACAAAACTCACTTGCTTCAGGAAACATTTGCCATAGTGAGATATAAACTAAATTGCATCTTTTCCCAAGTCATTTTTTCATCTATATAATATATTGCTGGTGTTTTATAAGTTGAAAGAATATTTTCCCCTGCAATAAATAAGTTTGTAATAAGTGTGAGATGGATTTATCATGAATTGAATGAAGCTTAAGCTTCAGGGTTCTTCACTTGCATAAGTCCCTTCCAAGTTCTAGCAAGTTGGAGGGGCCTGTCACTTTTCATATTCACAATTTGCATATTTTTATTAGGATTTCCCAAAACAGATGAGGTTCAGTCTTCACAAAACCTTGATTCACCCCTGGTTTTCAGGTAATTATATTTCAGTAAGTTTATTGAGTGAAATCTGTTATTGACAGACACTGAATGAACAAGTTAACAGTGTGGTAAAGAGTCCATTTTGGATCTGAAATCCACCTCAGAGACATGCTGAGTGTATTAATAAAGTAACACTTTTTGAATGGTAGTCATAAGCCTATTCCTTTCAGATAAAATCAGGAATTAAATATATTATGGAAAACCAGCAGTGGTTGATAATCCTAAATGTTAAATCTACTTATTTTTTCTGACTTTAAAGTGCTTCTCCTTCATTCACCTACATAGGTCCAGACTGATGGCTTATTTTAGTTCATTCCATTCTGCTTTCTGTGGTACTGGGGCTGTGGGCTGTTTTTCATGGTTACCCCAGGGATGGAGAGCAAAGCTCTAGGATGAGTTAAAGCAACACAGATCACTGTTCTTACAGAAAGCAATAATTTCTCTTGACTAAATGTTCCCTGGATTCCTCCAAGCCTGATGGCTAAATTTACAGTTTGAAAAAGTTGATTCTGACCATTTTTTGCCAGTTGTTTTGTAGGGATGACTTACTTCACCGTTTTCACTGATTTGCCCACAACATGGTTTTAAATTTCTAAAGTCTCAATGACTCTAAGCTAGTTAAATATTTAATCATGGCCGATCATTAGGAAACAGGAATAAAAAGAAAAAGAATGTAATTCTCATAGAGGCTGTCCCAGATGGGTACATGAAATTTGAAAAGGGATTTCTATATCTAGTGATCTCAGAATTAAGGTTAAAGTAGCAGCTATTTTAAAACCCCTCTTCTTAATGGGGCTTAAACATGGGTTTTAAGGTCAGAACTGAGTTCAAATTCCAGCTCTGCTTTTTACTAGCTTGACAACCTAGGACAACTTATATAACCTCTCTGTGCCTCAGATTCCTCATTTGTAAAACGGGGTAATAACATATATCAATAAAGTTATTGTGAGGATTAAATATGAAATGTTCATTACAGATGCCCAGTAGCCTAATAGATATTAGCTGTAATAATCATCTTTATAATAGTCTGCAAAAGTATACTAATGACTTTAGAGTAGTTAACCTAAAGACAGATTTTCTTTTCTTCTTGTTTTTTGTCTTGTTTTACTTGTATGTTTTATAGAATTGAGAAGAACATTTATTTCAGCATTGGGAATAAAAATTTGTGTCAATTAACAAATTTGTTCATTTTTATTGATATATAATCAAAGTGTTATTTATTTATTAAACAAACATCTATTAAATACCTAGTAAATGTGCCCTGGCCTGTTTGGCTCAGTGGATAGAGCATCGGCCTGCGGATTGAAGGGTCCCAGGTTTGATTTCAGAGTTATCATGAATGAATATAAGCTTTCATGGCACTTACTGAAAATGCAGACAGTTTTAATTCTATTGCATTTTTCAGAATCCTCAATCGTAATCCTCTGACAACCGTTCAAGATCCATATCTTTTTAATTTGCCAGCATTGAAATATTTGTAAGTATTGCAACAATTTCGTGGCTCATGAGATGATTTCTGCTCTTTCTTACTTTCATCCAAGATTAAATATTTTGCATTTTGATTAAAAAGTCATAATTTAAATTTTAACTAGGTTATTGAAAATGACTATTAGCACAGAAAAATGATAAAGACTGTACAAGAGCAACACAGCCAGGAGAGGAAGGGAGCAGTGTTGAACAACACGTTCAGACATGAAACATGCAGATGCATGTAGAAGTACCATTGATCTCAGAAAGAAAAAAGGAATAAGTTGTACATTACATGTATATTTTAAAAAGAATAATCAAGTTGTGGTTGCAATTGAGAAAGACAAATAGGATAATGGTAAAAAGAATAAACACAGATTGTACTGTTCACCAAAGTAATTAATTTGATGATGCAAATAAATTTAAATTTCTTCAAGAAGAGCTCTCAGAAAATATCACCTATGGCAAATAAATTCTTGAGTTGGCTTGACAGAGAAGCCAGAATTGAAGTTGATATAGAATTGTTGTCTTTGGGTTCATATCATGCATGTTTGGTCCTTCTCCTTCAGAGACATGGGAGCAACCCAAGTGTCATTTACAACAGTTGATAACATCCTCAAGATGACCCTTACACTGGAAAAACTGTAAGTTGGTTTTTCTTTTACTTATTTTCACTTAGTTACTATTTTAGGTTTGCTTTACTATTTTTGTAAGTCAGGTTTATTGAGGTATAATTTTTATTAAATAAAATTCACTCTTTTAACCCTGGCCAGTGTTTTTTAATGGTAAGAGCATTGGCCCCCACACTGAAGGGTCTCAGATTTAATATCCAGTCCAGAGCATGTACCTGGGTTGCAGGTTTGATCCCTGGCCCTGGCTGGGTGCCTGCAGAAGGCAACCAATCAATGTGCTTTTCTCATATCAATGTTTCTCTCTCTCCCTCTCCCCTCTCCCCACCTTCCCTCCCTTCCACTTTCTCAGAGGAAAAAAAATCAGTGGAAAAAATATCCTCGGGTGAGGATTAACAAAAATAAAAAAATCACTTTTAAAGTGTACAGTTTAATGAGTTTTGGCAACTGTGTAGTTTTGATCAATGTACCGCCATCACATTAGAGATACAGAACACTTTTGTCATCCCATAAAGGCTCCTCATATTTCTTTGCAGTCAGTTCTTCCTCCCACCACCAGCCCCTGGTGAGCACCAATCTGATTTTTGTCATTATAGCCTTGCCTTTTCCAGGATGTCTTATAAATGAAATCATGTAGAGTGTAGCCCAGCAGTTCTCAATCTGTGGGTTGCGACCCCTTTGGGGGTCGAACGACCCTTTCATAGGGGTCTCCTAAGACCATCGGAAAACACATATAATTACATATTGTTTTTATGATTAATCACTATGCTTTAATTATGTTCAATTTGTAACAATGAAAATACATCCTGCATATTTACATTACGATTCATAACAGTAGCAAAATTACAATAATGAAGTAGCAACAAAAATAATTTTATGGTTGGGGGTCACCACAACATGAGGAACTGTATTAAAGTGTTGTGGCATTAGGAAGGTTGAGAACCTCTGGTGTAGCCTTTTGTATTTGGCTTCTTTCATGTAGCATAACCCCCTTTTTAAAATAAATGTATACATGTTGCTGCATCTATTAGTAGCACTTTACTTTTTATTGCTGCATAGTATTCTAATTGTGTGTATACACCAGTTTGTTTATGCAGTCATCAGTTAATGGATATTTGACTTGTTCCTAGTTTTTTGGTTTTTAAGAATAAAGCTGCTAAAAACACTCACATGGCCCAGCTGTGAGTGACTCAACGGTTGAGAGTCAACTTATGGGTCAGTGGGTCATGGTTCAGTTCCCAGTCAAGGCACATGCGTAGGCTGTGGGCTTGCAACAGGCAGCTGGCCAATGGTTCTATCTCATCATTGATGTTTCTATCTCCCTCTTCCTCTCTGAAATAATATATATATATTCTAAAAGATTAAAAATAAAAACACTCACATACAGGTCTTTGTGTAAAAATACATTTTCATTACTTTGGGGTAAAATACCTACGGTGGGGTTGCTGCATCATATGCTGAGTACATATTTAATTAGTTAAGAAACTGCTAAACTGTGTTCTAAAGTGGTTGTACCATCTTGCCTTACCACCAGCAGTAGATGAGAGCTGCAATTGCTTCACATTTTCACCTGACCTATATATTTCTCTTAGAGGCCCAGTGCACGAAATTCATGCACGGGGTGGGGGGGGGGGTCCCTCAGCCCAAACTGTGCGCTTTCGCAGTAGGCCTAAGCCATCAGTTGGACATCCCGTAGTGCTGCCATGGAGGCAGGAGAGGCTCCCGTCAC